AAGGTAACTTCCTCAGGGGAGGACATTACAGTCTTCTCAGCTAAAGTAGGGTTAAACTCTTCAGATGGGAGCAGAAATCCTGCTCTAACGAGAAGAAAGACTCAGTGTAATTTAGGCATCAATGTCCCTGGCTTCATCAGGATCTTCTATGTTCCCACTCCAATTTTCAAGATCTCATTCCCTCCCAATCAATGCTCTCATTTTAATAGCAGAAATCCTGCAACGTTGGTAATTCAATTTGTGTTAGAATTCAGCCACTTGCAGGATGAGGCTGGATTTTGTTTTCAGCAATCTCAGCTCTGTAGCAACAGGAGATAAAGGTTTCTTTCAGGGTAGACATAGAAACTTATAGTTCATTTACGTGACTCTTGAGCTGGGAATTTAAATCCCTGAGCGCATTATTTACCTTCCCCATTTTATTCAGCACAATTAGGAGCAACCAGCCAATCTCACTATACTCTTTATTTTGACAAAAATGTTCTAAGGTATCAAATACATGATTACCTGGAATCTTGTGTCTTATAATTATTTGATTGCAAGTATCCTATGGTGATTTTTTTATAGATCTCTACTGCCACATTATACCATGGACTATCAGTGTTCTCTTTACTGCTGGAAATAGAGTCATTTGTGCCTTTAAAACTGATCAGGTTAGAGAACTAATTCTAAAAACCGCAGAACCAATTCAGAAAACTCATCCTTAAGATTCTGTTCCTTTTAGAACCATTCCTGGTACCAAAATATGTATTAGGATCTCCAGAAAAGAAAACAAGAGAGATTGATTTTAAGGAACTGGCTCATCAATTGTAAGGGCTAGCAAGGCCAAAATCTGTAGGGCTGGTTGGCAGGAGTCAATGTTTCAGTCTTGAGTTGAAGGCAGTCTGGAGGCAGAATTCCTTCCTCTCTAGAGAACCTCAATTTTTTCTCTTAAGGCCTTCAACTAGTGGATGGGACCACCCACATTATGGAAGGTAATCTGCTTTACTCAAAGTCTACTGATTTAAATTTTAATTAAATCTAAAAAAATACCTTCATAGCAACTTCTACACTTGTGTTTGACCAAACAACTGGGTACTAGAGCCTAACCAAGTTGAGATATAATTAATCATAACAGTTGGCCATCAGCCTTGAGAAGGTCATTCAGGAAAAAACACATATTATTAATCTGATAGAAGATTATACCCTGCAACAACGCTGAGAAAGAAAAACACTATCACTAAGAGGGGCTCTCTGCCATGCTAATTAAAATGGAGTCTAATATTGTTAAAGTTATCAATCGCCAGGTGTTTTAGAAGCTCAAGCCACGGGGGTGCACCACTGGAAGCCCTAGAGACAGCTTAAATTATAGCAAGATGCTTATGGGAAATGTGGCTTTTCTGTATCAAGCTCCACAGATTTCTTGATTCCTGTCTGCTATAGCTCAATGTGGATGCTGCACGTGGGTTAGGGGGACAAAAAATGAAGTATGTTGTAGTTGCTGGGCATCTCAATGAGATGAGGATACTATGTTTGTTCTATTTCCACTTCTGTAGTATTCTTCTATAAAGCCGAATTAATGTAATTTTAGTTTAAGGCCTATTTTGTCTTTTGAATTTTATTATAGTCTGAAACTGTGCCTACCATTGGGAGTTTTATAATAGTTAATTTTTAGAGAATAAAAGAAAATTATTTTAATTTTTGGATTCATATATTAATTTATATTACCATACCAATTGCTTAAATATACTGAATATCACCATGAATAACACAAAATTTTGGGCCTTTCTCTAATAATGTAGCTGAAAATATATTTTGGGGAACTCTGAGGATTAAGCTAAAGGCATGTTGCTATCTACTATTTACTTGCCAATTCAATTTGTCTTGTGTTTTTTGGTAATCTTTTTATTTTGAAACTTTCTGAGCTACCTTGTTTTAGGTAGCTATTCCTAAAAATTTTATTTACTGTATTTTGTTAATTTTCTAATGCATACTTTTTCACATTTAACATCCTTAAAATTGGGGTATGTTACAATAAATGGAAAGAAAACACTGTGTCATAATTTAACTGATAATATTTCTGCTTCTTTATGATACCTAAAAATGACATATTTTATAATCAACACATCTTATTAATTAAATATAGTAACTGCATTATGCATTTTTGATAAAATTTTAGAAAGCTTTTTATTTAAAAGTTGACTTTAATTCACTTGTATTTATCTTAATAAATTATATTTCCTCTTATATCTACATCTTATTATATGCTTTTCATTATGATGCTTTATTATTGTTTTTATTTTTGCCCTCAGATTTTTGTAGCTTTTTATGTTTTCTTTGATCTTTTTATTCATATATGTTGAGCATTTACATATCGTATTTCAGTTTTATGAATTGATTACCATTAAGTAACTAGCAAGCATGTTTGAACTTATTTCTCTATTAATATCAAGAATTAAACCTTGGAAATAGAATTACTTAGCCTATTAAAGAAAGCAAAAGTAGTTACAACAATCACATATCTTACTAAATACATATTCTTTATAGATTAAAGGTCCATATGTAAAAATAAAATATTAAAAGAAAACATAGAAAAATACTCATATAACCTTAGAGTTAAGAAGACATTAAAAAATGAAAATAGAAACCTAGAAATTATAAAGTAAAATAGAGACATATATGATTACATAAAAACTGAAAAAATGTGTCAAAATAAAATGTAAAAGATTAAACTATAAATTGATAAAAAATATTTGTAATGCTGTTTCATATTTTTCGCTAATATTCAAAGAGCATCTAAAATTGTAAGAAAAAGCAAACAACCCAATAAAAAATGAGAAAAAGATAAAACAGAAAATTAACAGAAAAGAAAATGAAAAGAGATACAAAATAAAAGATATTCTGCCTCGCTAGTAATTATGAAATTAAAAGAAAGACAGAAAGACAGAGAGATGATTTTCCACCCTGCATATGAATACTGACACTGTTAACTGGTTGAGGAAATAGAAGAGAGAGACAGTTCAATATTGATAACTAAACACACATACTCAAACTCACCAATATTTTAATATTTTATGATTTCAATGAGTTGGAGTGAGAAAGCTATTTAAGAGCAAGCGTATAAGTGGAAGTAAAATACTTCTAAGGTTCTTTTCTTTGTAACTAAGCTATAGATATTGAGTAACTTTAGATTTTTATCTAAAGGAAAAGGAATATTTGGTTTTTATCTACCGGAACTTACTGGAATAAACTCTGTTCCAAAATAAAAGCAGAAGGAAATAATCTGTTGGATGACATATACTGAATTTTTATTTTTAGTTCTATGTTGATAAAAATATCTTTAGTTAAGCAATGAGAATCATATATCATAACCAGTATGTGTACTATTATGTTTTATGATGTATCATGTTTCTGACATTTTATAAACTCTCTGCTCTTAGACTCTGAGACATTATAGTGTTATTTTAAAAGGTCTATTCTTTTTGTCATATCAAAATTGTGACACAAAATATGATTATTATCTATACAACATAGCTAATACATAAAGTAGAAAAACACCCACCAGTTATAGCCAATAATAATAATAGTAAATAGTTTTATGGATCTTATTATTATCCAGGCACTGTTTTAAGCATTTCACATAATTCCCACATAACTTATGAGGTAGATATTATCACCAGCCCTATTTTTCAGATGAAGAAACTGAGGCACGGAGAGATTAGCTAATTTACACAGATAGTAAGAGACAGAGGTGGACATAAAAGACAGGCAGTCCATCTCCAGCATCTGTACGTTTAAACACTACCCCTATGTTGCCTCTCTTAAAAAGATAGGCATCTCCTAAAGAAAACAACCCGAACATCCATCCATGGGAGAGTAGGCAAATTAACTGTGATATATTCATAAACCAGATCATTATATGGTAATAAAAATAGATGAACAAGAGCTAAAATTATCAACAGTGATTAATCTCATAAATATTGCACCAAGAAAGCAAGTTGCTAAAAAAAGCTTATGGCACACTACCATTTAATAATACAAAACAATAGCATAAACCGTTTACAGATGCAAACATATCTAGCAAGAGTATAAAGAAATATATGGGAATGAAAAATACCAAATTCAAAATAGAAGGAGGCAATAATCTGAGAGGGATGGAAAGGAGACTACAGTACTGAAGATATATTTACTGAACTGGGACACAGACACACAAGTGTTCATTATATTAATTCTTAAACCTTTCTATATTTCAAAATAAAGTAAAAATGACAGAAATAACATAAAATTCCAGGTTTTATTTGGTTCACAAGAAGCTCAAAGATAAATTACTTCTTCTGTTATACTAAGTAAAAAATCTAAATACATTTTTTTCCAATCCTTCTGGTAATGTCGTATTTTTCTTCAAATCCATTTTTGAAGCAAACAGAGAAAAAAAAATAAATTTCTTTAAAATATACACCAATTTCAAGAATTGTAGTAGAAAATATATAACAACATCACGAGTAAGTTCCAGTAGATAAAAACCAAATATTCCTTTTCCCTTCTTGAAACTATATAACAATATCAGATATAAGGTCTACTGGATAATAACCAATATGTTTTAGCAGATAATGGTACTTGATAAGAATTGAAATGTGAATACTGGGTGAATGTCATACTTTTAAAAATGAAATAATTGTAATAGCTCTGTAAGATTCCCAGAAAAGTGTTTCCTAAACCGGTGCACTATGAAACACCATTCGAAGACAATAAGGCAAAGTTTCTTGGTCAATACGTTTAAGAAATACAGTATAATAATTAAGATGTTAAAGACTACAAGAAGTAGTGAGTGGTGCTAATAGCATTACGGCATTTGTACTAGTCCTGCAGAACTCCAATTTTTGGTAAATTATGTTCTAAAATATCCAACCTAAAGAAAAATTCAACTATAAAACCATAAATAAAGCTGATCCACATTTAAAATGTACTTTAAATTGTTGTGTTTTATGACTATTTTTAAATATGTTTATCAATATCACATATACCTCTTAATCTTTGAGATTGGTAAACCCCATTTGTTTGAATTTGATCCTTATATCCTGCAGCTAGTTCTAGATCTTTAATTGTGAAGTTCCCATCTGAGAGTTCATCCATGTCTTGATCTACCAAGATGAAAAAAACTTTTAGTAAATTACTTATAGAAATACTACTGAAATCTGCTTACTGTGGCCTAATTCCAAGAAGTTATAATGTCTGAAGGTTAGGAAAATATTCTTACATGTTACATCAAGTAAAAAGAGAAAAATGATTACTCAATAAATGCCAGAAGTTCATTTGACAAATTTCAACATCTATTCCTAAAAAAACCCTTTGAAAAATTAGAATTATACATACTCCTAGACATTTACACTCTTAATATATTCATATGTCTATTTGAATTCAGCAGCTAACACCTTGATTTACAGTGAAGCACCAAAAGATATTCCTATTATAATTATGAAAAGAAGAATGTGAATTATTATCATTTTAACAATTACCTAGTTCTAATAAAGTTGATAATATATGAAGCAGAAATTATGATGATTTTCAGCTAATATTTCTTGCCAAATCTAAACATAGAGATTTGTCATATAGACTTTTTATTATAAAAAATTAAACTAAAAGAAATGGGTCAAAAGGACTGCACATTTTCAGTGTCAGTGATATCTATAGGTATTTTTTATTATAATTGATACATATTTTCATATAGTTTTTCTGAAAATGTTTAGTCATTATACAAATTTACCTGTAATCTTGAGATCTGCTTCCTCACACCCTTCCCAATTGATATTACATACTTTTCGTATTTGTTATTTTATAAATCATCTTC